GTAGACTGCGAAGCCTGTGGCTTTGTATTTCTTAGGTGAAGCGAAGAAGTGAAGGTAGAGATAGATGGAGAGGAAGAGAAGAAAGAGGAAATATTGGAGAGATAAGAACTCCATGGCATTGGCTAACAGTATTAGTGCGGGGACATATGTTCTTCTATTCTATATAGAGGAGTAGGAATGAGCGTAAGTGGCTCTAGTGCTTTGTCGTTTTTTTGGTTCCTTTAAAATAATATCTAAGGATTAGGATCTCCTAGACATTTGATATAAAGTTGCCATCTCATTAAAACATAATCTAAGGGTTAATATTTTGACACGTGTATATTAAATTGTATTTGGCAACATGTGAGATGACTCAACATTTTGAAAATCCTAAAAGAGATTATGAATTCCTTGTTTATATGCGTAATTGAGAAAATTGAATTTAAATTTCTCTTCAGACATTAAAAAAATAAGTACAACATCAGAGTTTTTGTATATATTATCTTATTAAATGTAACAATTGCATTTTGAATTTAATTCAAATTTTGATGCGATATAAAATGAAGTTTATATAAGTTGGAAGCTTAATTTTATAGTTTTTAGATGTCCGATAGATAAATTGACAGAAACGTTTTAGCTTCAACACTATTCCAGAGGGAGATGTGTAATTTTGTCTTCATTCGTTTGTCTTCTACTAACAATATTGTCCTAAAAAATAACACCCATAACTTGAGAATTATATTTAAGTATACGATGACTAGGGGTGGGCATCAATTCGGTTGAACCGATGAAACCGACCAATTCAAACTGTAATTATTAATTTGGTTTGATTTTGAAGGGAAACCGATTTAATTTAGACCATGCCCACCCTAACGATCCGGAGCATGACTTGACTGCCGCCGCTTGAGAGGGTTGTACCACGGACGAGCAGTGTCGGAACATGTAGATGATGAGTCTTTAGGAGCGTCGGTGTAGCAAAAGATGGTAGGCTTGCTGCAGAGGAAGAAGGAGGATGGGCCGGTTGCGCTTCTCGTCGGTGCGGCTGTTGTTACGGATACGTGGCGCCCGCAGAGCCAAGAGGAAGCGTCGCACCGCATCGTTCGTTGAACTAGAGGATGAGAGGTGAGTGTTTGTACATGCGAGCGAGCGCCTTTGGGATGTCTTCAGAGAGGGATTGGAATTTGACCTCTTTGACTTGTTGACTTGTTTGCTAACGTAACTTACGATATGAGTTTAGTTTACTGTTTACTGTTTACTGTTTCATTCTGAGTCTTTCAGATATTCTCAGGGCCACAAGGGAGAGAGAGTGTGTGAGGGTGCCATAGCTGCCAAATGCCATCCATCGAGCAGTGAGTTTCTTGTCTTTGGCTGCATTCATCTTTCATTGTCGCATTCTTTTGACTTATTCTGTATTAACTTCGCAACTTATACCAACAAATACCCCTTTGCTAACTAAAATCTTAGGGGAAAAAGTATTTTTAGTCCTTATAGTTTGCTAATTTTATCACTTTCACTTTGGTTTCGTAGTTTAAATGGGGTTGGCGCACTAGTCTAGTTAACTGCCATAATTCACCTTATTACTTGTATACATGAGGTCATTTAATCACCAAGATTATTTTTTATATAAGTAAGTAGGCTAGATTGAATCGCTATGATCTACGATTTATTTTCCCTATGCTGTAAATAAAATAACGAATCTGAATGTTTTTGGTAGATTGCATTTTACTTTTTATGATGTGTTTGGAAAAATTAGTAAATAGCTTATATTATATGATTACTACTGTAGGGGTCTTTTTGTTCCAACAGCCTGACGAATGGGCTTGGGCTGCTGTAAGAAGAAAACGAACAAAAACCTCATGAAGCCTGAGTTCAAGAACCAGGCTCCCAAAAGAATTTTTAAAAGACTTGCTGAAGCCTTAGAAAAATACGTTTGGGTTCTCTTCACCAACAACCAGAAGAACGTATCAAATTCGTTAATGACTTAGCTTGAGGAGCTTGTGGCATGGGAGCTAAGCTTTCACAAGTTTAGCAATTTGAGAGGGAGAGATCAAAGCATGAATTTCTTTCAGAAAAGAAGGTTTAGAGTGGAAGAAGGGGAAATTAGGGGAGTTTCTATCTCATAGGGAGAGAGAAACGATGGAAATAAAAGATGGGGTAGATTTCAGTTTGCTTGATAAAGCTTGGTCTTGCTCTGGAATGGTGTGTCTTTGCTGGGTAGAAGGAGCTCTCTTTTATAGGCGCTTAGGGCTCTAATTCAGTCGATCTTCCATTCCCAACTTTCCTTCACTTCTCTCCATTCACTCTTTTTGGTGAAATTTCTTCCCCCGGAGTGCAGACCCCTTTGAGTTCCAAGGTTTTCTGCATAGCTAGGTCTCTCTATGGGGGTGAGGCACCACTTGCTTTTTCCCTTGATTTTCAAACTGGAGCTCGCCGAGGAAAGGAGAGAATGGGTGAAGTCCTTTACCCAGTGGGCATTCCTTCTACGTACATGGATTCCCTCTGGTTCTTTCTATGGTCCCTCGTTGACCACATGGGAGTTCTGATATGGGTGGAGCTCGATGCTGGATTTCTCATAAAGCGTTGGGGTGGGTTTTGTGCACAGTATTGGGTTATTGACATGTTATTTCCAGCATCCAATGGGTTTTCGTCAAGCTGCTGGAAACAACCTCTTTGCTTTCATTTTGGGCTTTTTACTGATGTTGGCTCATCTAAGTGTTGTCGCAAACTAGATATTCTCCTATGGCATTGGATTAATTTTCTCCCTCTCTCATGCAAACCCATGTGTTTGGGCCCGAGGAACGGGCTTGAGTTTTAATGCTCCCAAGTGGCCTAAAACTTCCGTTCCTCAGATCCTCAATGGGCCCTGTGATTGCTCGTTTCCTTCCATACCACACCCTTCTCAACAAGCCCCGGGTAATTACGTGGCTTGGGCCCACTTGAGCTTGTAGCATGGCTTGATGGCATCGCGTGTCTACTTGTTGTGCTTGTGCTTGAGTTTTGTTGCGCTTTAATAAGCCAAGATCGAATTAAATAGCACCGGATAGGTTCGTGAGCGTGAATTTATAAGGCCGTCGCATTTTTGGCCCTTTTGTGCGTGCTTGCTTGGCGTGATTCATGACCCATGGCTTATGTAGGCATGCCCTACAATTCCTTTTCATGTCCCCATTGAGCTTTTCTTGTAACTAATCATTTGTGCCTGGCTAAGAATAAGTTTGGGCCTAGCCCTTGAATTTTTGGGCCTCAACATTAGCCCCCTTGATTATTGGGGCCATGAGCAAATTTTGAGATGGGCCGACTAATCAAACCCAGCCCAAAAGTCAAATCCATGTCAGGCGATATGACCTTCTCGTTTCCCGCGTGTGTGTGCTGCTTTGATTGTCTTCCAGCAGTCTTTCACGTTCCCCAGGAAAGCGCTTTCATCCAAGTCTGTCTTATTCGCCTTTTATTTCTTCTTCTTCCTTTCCCCTTTTCGCCCTTGGTTTCTTTCTTCCGTGTGCGTGCGACCCAGACCTCCCACTCTCTTCTCTCGATTTTGCTAATTCTTCATCACACCCAGGCTTGGAGACCCTTTGAGACAAGAAATCGCTAAGAGGCGTCCTCCATAACATCCAGTTGGTTAAGCACAGAGAAACGGTTCGCAACCGCTAGGAGGGGCCACCGTTCCTCTTTAAAAACCCTAAGTCTCTCGAACTTCTCCTTCAATTCGTCAAAGGTCAGGTTTAGCAAGGTCACTTCGCAGCGCGTGGAGCGACTTGGAGAGAAGATTACGAGACAGTTCCTTTTTCCTTGCTTCCGACAAGCTGCTGGAACAAGCACCATCGAGGGCAGTGGTAAGCCTCACTCCTCTATTTCTTCTCCTGCTTCTCCATCATAAATCCCGAGAACCCTTCATGAGAAGAATGTTTTCCCCCTTCTTTTTTTTTTCTTTTTTTTTTTTCAGTCCCTTCTGCTGCACGGTCATTTGATTTTTTTTTTAATTTCATATCCAAGCTTGAATTTTGGATACGCACCACTGATTAGGGATTTCAAACACCCTTCGAGCGTCAATTTGTCCCAGTTGGACACAAAATCCCTAGATAATGTCAAAGCAAGGCAGAAAAAGCATGAGCATGCACTATGTTGAAGAATCGATCCATGACCTCTTTTAATGATTAACCCTTGTACGTAGAGCCGCGCGGCTATACTTTATTTTTTCTATTTTTTTTAAAAAATAGTATAGCCGATCGGCTATACTCCATTTCTAACTACATTGTTTTTAAAACAGTATAGCAGCACGACTATACTCTATGGTGATTTTTTTCCTCTGTTTGGTTCTAAATTTTTTTATAAATAGTATAGCCGCCCGGCTATAATGGATTTTTCTATTTTTTTTTTTTTAAACTGCGGCTATACTCGATTTTACTAAATTGTTTTTAAAAATAGTATAGCCGTACGGCTATACACTTTATATATTAGTGGGATTTTTTTAGTATAGCCGCACGGCTATACCCGGTTTTGTTCTAATTTTTTTTAAAAATAGTATAGCCGCGTTGCTTTATTGATTATGACACGTGGCGCCTAGTCGCTGAACTGTTCCTTTTTTTAATATATATATATAAATAGTATATCCGTGCAGCCATACACCGTTTAGGTATATATATATATAGTATATCCTTGTTAATGTTTCTAAAAAAAGTTTTTGAAGTCCAATCGTTTTTGTTCTCTCTCTGAGTTCATTCTAATCAAGTTGCTTAGCCATTGTTCTAAATGAAATAGCATATATCATGCTGTAGTCCATTTTTAGTTTCAATGGAGCAGAGATTTTACAAATTACAAACAAGTTCGCTTTGCACTTGACTGCAATTATATATACTGCCATTTGTATTTGTTTTTCTCGTCTCTCTTTTGTCTTTTATTTTTTGTTTTCCTTATTTCGTATGACAAGCGTTTAAACTCTTTTGGTTATGTACTGACTACTGAGTTGTGGTCTCTATTAGGTGCTGCAATGCAATATTAGTAAATAAATACAATTCAATAAAATATGACTCACATCACAACTAGTGACAATATACTTTGATTTTAATTACACAAATGGCAAATTAAAATCCTTTGTCCAAGATAAAATAAGAAAATCTAATTAAAATGCATTTCTACTGCGCACCCTCACTGGCAATCCACCTTTTATCCTGAGTGTCAGTGACAACAGATGCTCAGGACACGTGTCTTTATTTGGTACGTCGATCTCAAACCTCTCCATCACAGACGCTGCAATCGACTTCATCTGAATATAAGCCAGATCTTTTCCGAGACACATCCTCGGTCCGGCATGAAATATCGGAAACCGAAACGCACTCTCCAGCTGACACGTGCCATCGTCGTCCTTGAGCCACCTCTCAGGCAAGTTGTTGTCTTCAGTAATCCCGATAAACCGGGACAATAAATCTTGATGATCTCCTAATTCTTCGACTTCCATTCTGGACCTTATGATATTGTCCGCGAAGTTATGAACGGTTGCGATTGATTCTTTTAACCTTCGCTCTGATCCAACGTTGAAGAACCTCTTAATCTTGTACACAAACGCAAAAGCATACAAGAACCTCCCCCAGATAAGCGTGGATGCGTCGTCAAAAGCCTTCATGAACTCATCGGAACCGGAAGCCGTTTCTCCATCGCCATCGCCAAGACAAACCGGGTCGACGTTAAAAGCCAATTTACAAACATTGTCAAACGCAAAGCGTTCCAAAACGTCTTGTAAATCCAAACGACATCCCGTTTCGGCAGCTTTCGCCAAACACGGAATTAGCCTGGACTGAATCTCAGTTTTCACATTTTCCATGACAAAGTTTCGGAGGGATTTTGTGTTGAAGGCATAGCTGGCAGTCTTTCGCTGGACTTTCCAGAGTTCACCGTCAGCTGTAAAGATTCCGCGGCCGATAAAATCTTCAATAAGCGAAATGAACCGGTCGCCCTTCGGGTAGTTGTCGAAGTTGGTCTTGAGCATGTGCTCCACGTTTGACGGGTTGGCGGTTATGATGCCTCCGATTTTGCCTGGGCGGCGGAAGACGGCGGTGTTGGTGGGGCTGGTTGTGAGGATTTCGGTGGTCCAGTCCAGAAATCGGTGGCGGTTCTTGAGGAAGGAGGGTAGGGTTCCGACAATCGGGTAGACTGCGAAGCCTGTGGCTTTGTATTTCTTAGGTGAAGTGAAGAAGTGAAGGTAGAGATAGATGGAGAGGAAGAGGAAGAGAAGAAAGAGGAAATATTGGAGAGAGAAGAGCTCCATGGCATTGGCTAATAGTATTAGTGCGGTGACATATGTTCTTCTATTCTATATAGAGGATTAGGAATGAGTGTAAGTGGCTCTAGTGCTTGTCTTTTTTTGTTCCTTTAAAACAATATCTAAGGATAGGATCTCCTAGACATTTGATATAAAGTTGCCATCTCATTAAAACATAATCCAAGGGTTAATATTTTGACACGTGTATATTAAATTGTATTTGGCAACATGTGAGATGACTCAACATTTTGAAAATCCTAACGTTCCTTGTTTATATGCGTAATTGAGAAATTTAAATTTAGACATTAAAAAAAAAGTACAACATCAGAGTTTTTGTATATATTATCTTATTAAATGTAACAATTGCATTTTGAATTTAATTCAAATTTTGATGCGATTTAAAATGAAGTTTATATAAGTTGGAAGCTTAATTTTATAGTTTTTAGATAAATTGACTGAAACGTTTTAGCTTCAACACTATTCCAGAGGGAGATGTGTAATTTTGTCTTCATTCGTTTGTCTTCTACTTACTAACAATAATGTAAAAAATAACACCCATAACTTGAGAATTATATTAGGTATACGATGACTAAGGGTGGGCATCAATTCAGTTGAACCGATGAAACCGACCAATTCAAACTGTAATTATTAATTTGGTTTGATTTTGAAGTGAAACCGATTTAATTTAGACCATGCCCGCCCTAAGAAGATTGGTGATATAGGGTTCAAAAGCTACATTTGTCAATTAAACAAGCAGAATGTTGTAGCTCTCGACTCTATGTCATCATTTTCATTTGAAGCATTCAATTCAAGCATCTATCCACGTTGTCGTCAAATTAATAAAAACACAGATACAAATAATAATAATAATAATATGTCGTATTGTTTTGGCTTAGCACCACAGTTACTGAGAGAGAGAGAGAGGAGAGAGAGAGAGAGTCTACTGTTAATGTATATCCTGGTAACAAAGGTCAAAGCAAGCATCGCTTTCCCTGATTGATCGCTTTCCATGAGAGAGTCTCTGTGCCACACAGAGCCCCGAACCGGATATTTTCCATTTTGCACAGAATGATTCTCCTACGACGTGTCGTTAATTAACACCATCAGAAAATCAAAGGCACTGCCCACGGACACAACCCGTATATGCCACACATTCCGTTGCAGTCATTTTGTGGCACAGACACAGAGTGAGCAACAGAGAGAGTGAGTGAGAGAGGCTCATGGCTGCCATCTGCGGTCGAGTCGCTCTTTCACCTAACCAGGGATTCAATCTAGCTAAATCAGGTACTTTTCTTTCTGGGTTCTTTGAATTTTGAGCAAAAAGTTGAATTTCACTCAAGTTCTTTATACCATAAGTTATGGGTTCTGTATCAGGTCCAATCCATTTATTTATAGAGATGTGTTATCTGAAAATATACATGATTATGGCTCAAAGCTATAAATTTTGCGGTGAATTTTTCTGGAAATTGGAAAATAATGAATGAAATAAAGGCTAAGAAAAATTTGATAATTGAAGCTTCCGTTTTGCGTATTAGGAACAAGACACATAAAGATTTTGTGCTTTAAATTTAACAGTCGTTTGTCTTCTCAGTAAACAATGCTGGATTTGTTGATTTCAATGTTTTTATTTCAATTTATATGGCAGGGGATAAACATTATTTTCATAAACAATGCTCAAGCCGGAGCATCTTGATGACAGCATCAAGCACCAGGCTTGGAAAAGGTGGTGGGTTGCTGGAAAAGCCAACCATAGAGAAAACAACACCTAGTCGTGACTCTGAGTTTGACTTAAGGTATGTATTCTCATGCCTTGATTAATGGGTAGCTGTAAATAAAGTAGAAAAATTTACCTCAAATTCAGCTCAGTACAAAATTAAGAAGTGAATGCAACAATGAAGCTTTCGAAGAAACAGAGCACTTAATGTTCATAATCTGCATTTCTATATTTGATTGAGGGTTGAAAACAAATTGTTTAAGTAACCCTTTTGTTCTATTTGCATGTGTTTAGTTAACATTAGAAAATTGAAGTAATTTTCAAGATGGGTTGATCAAATGTTGCAGGAAATCAAGGAAAATGTCGCCGCCTTACCGTGTGATGCTGCACAATGACAACTACAATAAGAGGGAGTATGTTGTGCAAGTTCTGATGAAGGTTATCCCAGGAATGACAGTTGACATTGCAGTGAACATAATGCAGGAGGCACATCACAATGGCCTGGCAGTCGTAATTGTGTGCGCTCAAGTCGATGCAGAAGACCACTGCATGCAGCTCAGAGGCAATGGCCTTCTAAGTTCTGTTGAGCCCGCTAGCGATGGATGTTGAGGAGTGCTTGCTTGTAGTCTATTAGTTATCATATCATAAACAAAACAATTACCTACAATTTACACAAAGAATTGAACTTGTTAGGTCACAGCCTTATCAGTAAAAGCTATATGTGATGGCATGCTTGTTTATATGTACATAAACTTGCTCATATTAAGGTGAACTGTTTCAGTTCGGGCATGTTTTGTTTATGTTCTTCATTTAATTAAAGAAAGAGAGATAAGAGAGATGAAGGAAAAAAAGAGGAGGAGAAATAAACAGATTATATATATAGACCTCATTCTTTTATTGCTCATAGTTTTCATTTGATTAAGAACAATGGAGTTGGTAAGATGGTGGGGTTGTTTGTGCAGCCATGTCTGCATTTTCAATCTGGTTTCAGACGAGACGATTACATATTTAACAGAAGCCCTTCATTTGAGTAAAAAGGAAGGGTATTGTCTTCCCTCAAAGACAAAGGAAGGATCTTCCACGAAGCTTTTGTATGATATCTGAAAATGTTTTAGCCAAAACGAATATATATCATACATGAGCAGCGCCATTGCTGGTAAAAATGAGCACAAAAGGTAAAAATAGCCAAAATAAATGGAGACGCGGGGAATCGAACCCCGTGCCTCTCGCATGCGAAGCGAGCGCTCTACCATATGAGCTACGTCCCCGTGTTGTTCTATTCCTAAATTCTATAATATAAAACGACAGTAGTATTATTATTTTTTTAAATTAAAAAAAAACCTCAAACAAATCACATTAGCTTTGGCAACCTTCTCCGTCCCTCTAAAATCAGCAGCCCCAATAGAACTGCAGACTAGAAAGTTGTGGCTTTAAATTATGGCAAACATAATGAACATATTGGTTTTCTTCCATAGTAAACCACAATGAAAAGTGAACTTGCAAGTCATCCACGCATGGAAAGATGCATAGAATTAGATAGCATGCCTTTGCAAGTAAACCCAATTTTATCTTATTGACATGGGCACAACCACAATTTACTGCACTAGGAAACTATCAACAAGCTCAGACACATTTGAAAGTTTCTCCTTCTTGCATACCATAGAAATCACCATTGCCCAGGTGTCTACATGAAGAACATTTCCGTTTCCCAGACTAGTTAAAACTGTCCTTAACAATTCCATATCACCTTCCCGACACAACCCCTCAACAAGTTTATGTGCGCTTAGACAATGGGGTGCATAACCCTTGAAGATCATCTCATCTAAAATAAGTGCTGCTTCTCTGAACTGCCTGCAATCACAAAGTCCAGTAAACATTATTCGATATGAAACCACATCCGGAGTGCATCCACGTCTTGGTAAATCTTCAAACAAATCATTTGCTTCACTCCATTTCCCTTCCTTACATAGTTCACCAAGAATCACATTATAACTAATAACATCTGGCTCAAAACCCTTCTCCACCATCTCATCCAAAACTTTATATGCTGCTTCAAAATCCTTCTCCTTGCAAAACCCATTAATCATTGCATTGTAAGTTACAGTATTAAGTTTGCACCCATACTCACTCATTTCCTCAAGAAGCCCAAAAACCTCACCTTTCCTACCAAGCTTGAAAAGCCCGCTGATTAAAGTCGAATAAACTGCTGCATCAGGTTTGATTTTTCTCATTAGCATCTCCTCCTTCAGCCTAAAAGCCAAACTCATTTCACCAATTTTACAGAGCCCCTTTATCAAGGAGGTATACACAAATATAGTAGGCGGCACCCCATATACCTTCGCCATATCCTCTTTCAACTTAAAAGCTTCTTTCAACTTCAAATTAGAACAAAGGCAGTAAATCAAACTCCCCATCGTCACCGAATTTGGAGGAATACCCTTTCTAGACATTTCATCGAGCACCTTCCACGCATCATCCAAGTACTCATTCGAACAACAAGCTTTCATCAATATATTATAAGTACATGCATCAGGGGTCGCGTATTTGTCAATACCCACAAAGAATTTCCACATTTTCTCAAACTCGCCACACCTGAGAAGCGCATTCAACAATGAATTCAATGATTTCACGGTCCGATGGCAACGAAATGTGGGAATTTCATCGAACATTTGGAGTGCACGGTCGGGGAGATGAGCGCGACCGTAGAACGAAATGACATTGCAAAAGATGATTTCGGGGGGAGCAAAGCGGGTTTCTTGCTTCAATTGGTGAAGGATTTGGTCCATTTGGTCGAACATTTTGGCGCGGCCGAGCTTGGTGATGATGAGGTCGTAGGAAAGGAGAGAGTAGCGGAAAGGCTTTTTGGGTTGAGGAGTTGAATCAGGCTTAGGGTTTTGGAAGAATTGGAGAGCGAGAATTGGGTCCTTCTGGCGACGTAGGAGAGAGGAAAGCCTGAAGGGAGAGATAGATTTTAAAGCATTCATTTTCTTCTGTTTGGAGGTCAATCTGGTACTTTGGTTTGGTTATACTGTTATAAGTTCCCGCCAAATACCGGCAACGGCTATTATTGGAATTCGGAAGTGAACGAAAACGAACAAGAGAATTGGATCAGCAGTTCTTAAAATGGACCTGTTCCTGCAGTGACGGCCCAAACCCCCCAAGAAAAGGAACTTGTTAAGCCCAATTATTTATGAGCTCAAGAATCAAGCTCGTTTGAGAGTGATTTTGGAATGGCCAAAATCACTTGTAGTTCCATATTGGTGGTAGTTGGAAGTTGGGTGCCACCGCCAAATACCGTCAACGGCTATTATTGGAATTCGGAAGTGAACGAAAACGAACAAGAGAATTGGATCAGCAGTTCTT